TGGCATTGTTGTTTTCTAATTGAGTTTATTGGTACATTTTAGGGATACAGTACAGTTACATTCATTATTGGGATCTTGTACCTTTACATGACAGGTCTTGGATCTCATTTTTTCCCCTTGTCCCTGCCCTCCCTTCACCCCCTCCTCCCCTCCCCATTTGCTAACATTTTATTTCCATTTTTTCATTTTCTCTTATTTTTTTTCTTTCCCTTATTACCTTTCCTCTACCCTTCCCACTTTCCCTACACCTTTAGCCCTTTTCTGATTTTTATATTTAAGGGGGCATTGAAAATTTTCTATTATACCTTGCTGTACTTTCAGCAGAAATTACATTCTCCAGTGCTTTTCTTTGACTTGATTATTTGCTAAGGTCTGTAGATAGTTTCATTTAGAATTTCAGGGGCCTATTTTATTCTAGTGATGTACCATAAATACTAAACAGAGATAATGAGTTCAGGTACTTAATCATCTAAGTCAATTAAACTGTCAATATAAGACAAAACACATATTAAATTTTTTAAAATGCCAGCTCACATAAGTTCTAGGGAAGTGAGGAGTTGTTAAAAGCGAATGTTCATATTAAGCAAATCTGGGATTGAATTCAGACTCCATTACTGCTAGTTATGTGACCTGGGACAGGTTACTTAACTTCTGTGTGTCTCTGTTTCATAACCTGTAAAACAGAGATGATAGTACGTATCTCAAAGGGATAATGTTTGAGGTAATACATGTGATGTGCTTGTTTATGAATACAGTGCTAGATATACCAAGTACTTAATTAATGTTAGCTATTATCTCATTATACTGCACCATGCATGACTTCAAATATATGAAGCAGCTAGCTACTCACATGGAAATTTCTGGCATGATAATGTGTCTGCCTGTCTGCAGTGTATCTTTTTGAGTTTTTATTTTTAATAATATAAAAACAAAATACCGGGCCTCATAGAGTCTAGGAATGCTAATTGTTTGACATTTGGCAAATTGAAAGTGACTCAGAATACCTTGCTTGATGTTCCAGCATCTGTCACTAGCAGATTTACTAAGAATAGTTTCACAGTGGATTGGTGACAGGAGTTATTAATTTGGAGATTCTTTAGGATGCAGAAGGAAAGGAAGAAGAAAGAAAAGCTCAAAAGTAAACCGTGTTGGCACCAGGCTCCTGATTAGCTTGATCTGCTGCGTTTTCTTGGTCCTTTAGTCACTGCATCGCTGCAAAGTAGACTATACTAAATAATTCGTGTCAGGGAGTAAAAGAAACAACATCTGTGAGGCAGAGACCCACAGGGCCAGGTTTAAGACCCTCATATTTCCTGCTGCTTTAATTTCAGCTGCTCTTCTAGCTTGGGTTGACACTACTGAAGATAAGCCTGGTAATCCTAGCTCTGCAGGGAAAGACGCTGTAGGTAGTATTTTCTGATTAGCAGCATGCCTATGGAATATAGTGTGATTGTAAGGGAGCAGTTTAAAAACATTTTTACTAACACTGAGCTTCATTTAAATTCCATTCAGTGAAAAACTGTACTGATTCCAGTCTCTTTTAAGTAAAAATGTGTACATTTCATATTCTAATGGTCTAGGACGGTGAAAAATTATTTTTCTTTTGCAGATGTATTTTTTCACTCATTGGTTACTGTTCCTGATTGGGTTCCGGAAGAATTTTAGGGAGGCAGATGAAGAAAGGCCTTGCCAGTACAATGAAGGACTTAGGTGGAAACACGATGCTTAGCAAACCTAATAGTAGGAAAGCATTCAATTTAGATTATCCCCTCCCTAAATATCTTTGTCAAATTGGGCTTCTTTTTTTGCAAGAAGTTTTAAATTTTATTTTCATGAAATAAAATTGATCAAGATCTTTTTACAAAATCTATATAAGTATGGCCAGGCTGTTCATTTTAGATCAGATACCAAAAAGTGATAAAGGAAAAATACTAGCAGTTTTCTTTGTTTTTACCCAAAAGTAAAAAGTTATCCTTCATGAATATTTATTAAATATTTAAGTTAATAAATACATACAATTTACAAAGAAGTAGATATATGTGTATCCTCACAGTTTTTTAGTGTTATGATTTAAAAATATAGAAATTATTCATATAAATTAACTACTCTGTAACTGAACTTGCTGTGCAATCGGAGTACTCAGTTTTTCTTTGGATTTTATGTTGAGAGGTGGCCATATTACATATGCTTTGATGTGTGAATTAGGTTTTTCAGGGGCTTGAAAAGAATAAAGTGTGAATTGAGTCATCACACATGCTAGAATAAGCTTGCCAAACTGTAAGAATATCATAATTTTATGTGGATTGGTTATATTTTGGGGATTGTTTTAATTTTAATAAGGCACATAGCAGTTTATTACTGTAACTTAAATATACAAATATGTCTTCATCATAAAATTTTTTTCGTCTTGACTCTACCAGTGGTTGATTTGATACCTATTAAGTGTAATGCTAACCCGATATTCAAGTGAAAAAAAGACATAATAAAGAATCACCAAGTAAGATCTAACTGGCATATAAGGTTTATTGTGAAAAGCTTGCTTAAATAAGATCTGATTGTCTTGAATAGTAAACAGAGGCTGGAAATTGTGAAGTATTGCATATTGTACATCATACTTTTATAAAGAGACATTTTCTGTATTATCAAATTATATTTGTAGTACAAATGTTAACACAAAAAATTAAATGTAGAACCAGACCTGCTTTTCTATTAGACATAATGTCATTTATTTTTAATAAAATAACACTGTCTTTCAAATGGGTTTAATATTTTTAGGTTATTGCTAGTTTTGTTAGAATTTAATTTGTAATTTTATCCTGAGTCCATAGTTTTATAAGAACCATAAACCTAAGTAGTTTACTTGCTTGTGTATACTGAAGTACCATTATATAAAACATTTAATGCTTAGATCAGTTGAGGATTCTTTTTGCTCCAGGAAAAAAATGATTTTTTTAAGTTTATAAGAAACAGTGATTTAGAATATGTGGTTGTATTTCTAAACCTTTAAAATCCATTCTGTTTCCTGACTTGTTTCTAATTTATTTACATTATTACAAATATAATGATAGGGCCGGGGATTTAGCTCAGGGGTTCTGCCACCTGCTTTCTAAGCACAAGGACTGAGTTCAAATCCTAGTACAAGAAAAAACAACAACAACAACAACAACAAAAAAGCAAATGTAATGATTATTATGATTTATTATGTTCAATCAAGATAGAACTGATAATAAGGCTTTAAATTATCTCTAGGAGAATATTGATTGAACTTATGATTTTAAGCTGAAATTATTACTTCTTTATGATTTATATTGACATTGTATGTATACTGGACAATCATTTACTTTTTTTCAAATGAAATTAACTGAAAACAAAAAACATGGCCTAATAGAAGACTTATTTTTATCTTGACATTTGTATATCAGTTCAATCTTACTTAAAAATTGTATGATTGATAATAGCAGTATGAGTCAGTCATTTCCTTCAGTTATAAAAATAGTAGCAGATATGTTTCCATTTTAAGAGGAATAACATTCGTCATTCTGTGAGTATGAATCAGCTGAAGACCTGATATTTGAATGTGGCAGGAATGGAACACTTTCAAAGTAGAAATCCAGCCAATTTTCAAGAAAAATCACAATGTTTCAGCTTTGAACTTTAATGTATTTGGAACCATATGCAGCAGAACATTTTCTTCTTACTATCTTCTGCCAAACTAATTATGTATACCACATTTATTTTTCCCTTATGCTTGGGAAGTCCAAGTGTATGCTAGAATAATTCCCTGATTCATAGTACGGTCAAAATGAGAGATTTTGAAATTTTCTCTTGAAGAAATTATATGCAAAAATGAGAATATTTCATTCATTTAACATTATTTATTGAGTATCTACTATATGCTAGACTGTTACTAAGCCTGAATGATACAGTGAGGAATAAGATAGATAAAGCCCTGTCCTCTGAGAACCAGTATACTGATGGAATGGTGTGGGAAATGTTAGAATTTCAGATTCATAAATGTCCTGTCAAAAATAAAACGTAATGAGATTGAGGACCTTAGCTGAGATTGGAATGATCTCAGCATCTGTTCCAAGGGAAGTCTGAATTTTGTCAGCAGCCCCTAGTGGGAAAAGCTGGGCCTGTCTCTGGAACAGTGAGGCCCAAGTGAAAGGCACACAGCGAATGTGAGTGTGGGGCCAAAGTTAAATGCGTCTGTGAGTTTTCATTTTCCTCTAATTGTAGTTGGGAGCCTTTGGAAGGCTTTAAATGGGCAGGTTTTGACATAGTTAAGGATGGTCACTCTGCAGGCCATCAGGAGAAAGAGCTGAGGTGGGGTAGATAGAAATAGGAAGCCAGGTAGGGAGGGAGATGTTCCAACAACTACTCCAGAGTTGCTGGCTCAGCTGGGAGATGGAGCGCAGTTTGTGAGGAGGGATTGGAGCTGCAAGCTGTGCTGCATGCTGACAGATTGCACATCTTCTGAGTCTAAAAGTTAAGTTAAATTCTTCACTCTGAAAGTTTTGAGAATGTTAAATTTTACTCAAAAACTAAAAAAAAATTTAGGAAAGCTAATACAACTCTGTTGGGGAAAAAAAATTTAGCTAATAACTTAGAGTTACATGGTTAGGTTCATGCCAGATTGCTCTTTTTCTCTGCTTTGAAATTCATACCTAAGAATATAAAAAAAATAATTAAGGCCCCTTTAAATATGTAGCTGGAAAAATGAAAGGGAGTAGAGGGAGGGAGGGAGGATGAAGAAGGGAATTGAACTGTGTTATGTACATGTACCAGTGAATTCAACCGATATGTACTGCGAATGTGTGCTTCTAAAAGAAAAAAAATAAGCAAAGTTAATTTGGCTAAAAAATGAATATGTAGTTGAAAATACACTTATTTTTAATGAGGAAAAGAATAATCATAGTTGCTACGTGATATAAATAAAATTTATGTGTTGCACTTTTTCATTTAAAGAGCATATTTGCTGGCTTTTTCCCTGCTCCTAGTCACATTGTCCTGATGCTTGCTGATGATATGGCCTGCAACCCTAGAAATCCCAAACCGGCCACAGTATTTAGTCACAAGAATATGGAGCTAAATGTGTACGGAGACGACGTAGAAGTGGACTATAGAAGCTATGAGGTAAATTGGTTACTCTAGCAACATTTTTGAAATGTTACTTTTAAGCTTTAAAACAGTGGAAGAATACAATCGTTTCATTTCTTTTTCTTTAAACTTAGTGAAAAATTGTCACTGAGCCTTGATTGTAATTTGTCCCTGGAGTTTATATCAAGGAAATAATACATGAGTAAAACTTTTAAAGCAAGAATATTCCCTGTATGTTTCTGGGATAGAGCATCTTAATTTTATTTTTTTCGTTTCTTTTTTTGGTACTGGGGATCGAACTCAGGATCTTGCGCTTGTGAGGCAGGTGGCAAAACACTGAGCTAAATCCCCAGCCCAGAAAATCTTAATGTTGATTACAGCATTACAATGAGCTTTCACAGATCCACTTTCTTTTACAGAAAATATATTATTTCTTTTTATATTTGCTCTAAAATTTTGAGTTTAGTTAGTATTTTTAGTAAATATATCAATTGTGGGAAAATTATAATGGATAACATAAAACCCATATTTGTACTACTTTCAGGAGTGTGTGTATATGTATATATGTATTTATATATGTATATATACTTTCTATAGTACTTATATATATAGTACTTATATATATTATTTATATATGTATATATACTTCCTGCATATAAATATATATATGTATACACACTATATATACTATATAACTATATATACACAAACACACACACTTTCTGCATATATAACTATGTAAAAGAAAAAAATTTAAATAAAAAATACCACTGTGCTGAATTTTCTTCCTTTGGAACTTCTTTTTAACTATAATAGATTATGTCCTTGTTTAAAATGATAATACTTACCCTTTTCCTAGGCCTACCAAAAGTAAAGCACAGCATCTTCTGATTTTCCAGATCTCTTTTGATGCAGTTTTAAAAGCACATCTATCTCAGCAGAGCATGGTGGTGTACTCCGGTAATCCCAGAACTCTGGTAGTCTAAGGCAGGAGGATTCAAGTTTGAACCAAGCCGTGCAATTTAGTGAGACCTTGTCTTGAAATGAAAAAAAGGACCAGGGATGAAGGCCTTGGGTTCAATCTCCAGAATTAAAAAACAAAACAAAGTAAAGCAAAACAAAACAAAACAAAATATCTGTCTTCCTAAGATGTAAGGTCCTCTAAGACATGGCCTGAATCTCTGTTGTGGGCACTCAAAGTGACTTTTAACTATATTTAGTCCTTAAATGTAGATCAAAAATTTATCTTCCTTACTACCAATAAGAAGCCCTATTTTTGCTGTCCTTCGGGCACAGTGTAAACGAAACAGCTTACACGGGTACAGTCATACACATTTACACACTAGGAACTCAGGAGAAGTCTGGGAAAAAGGCTGAGTAGAAGTTTTTTTTATGTTTAAAAGTTTGATGGGAATAATATAAGACTTAGATGTTATCTTTACATTTGCCTTTTATTCTCTTTAAATAAAAATACTTTTTGCCTTGGAAGAATCTTAGACTGCTAGAAATCTGGTTTTAGGTGTTGTAAATTTTTTTATATATTAAAGATGCTCCTGCCAAAAATCTAAGCAACAAAATGCATTAAATAATTGCAGGTATATAATTTGGGGATTTTTGGACCACTTTTTCATGATTAATCTATAATTGACTAAGTAGTTCTACAGATTTTCTACAATAATGTAGCTGAATTTATTTACTAACTCTTAGATTTTTACTCTTTTTTTTACTAATTCTTTAGATTCTTTTTTTCTTCCCAAAGAATTGCCTAATAAGATTAATTGTAAGCTTTTAGTAAATTTTAGAGGCAATACTTTTTGTACTCATTTTTCTCCAAGGTAGTTTTTGTTTAGTTTTTAGCATTTTTAAATAGAAATCGTGTTTCTTGGATATGTTTAAATGAATATATTTTAATTGAAGTTTCATTTTTTGTGTTTTATTTTCAGTTTATAGCTAATAATCCATCGAGAAAAAATGAGGAATGTTTTTGAAAGTGAAAAATAATTTTCAGGTTTCTTCAGGTTCTAGTTCATCTGATTTCTCTCTCTTTTTTCAGGTGACTGTGGAGAATTTTTTACGGGTATTAACTGGGAGGATCCCACCTAGTACTCCTCGGTCAAAACGTCTTCTTTCTGATGATAGAAGCAATATTCTTATTTATATGACAGGTAATTTCAGAATTTAGGGATGTAGTTACATATACTGAAACTCCTTTTACAAAGAAATTCCAGGAAAAGAAATTTTCATTGCATTAAATACCTTTTTGGTTAAAATAGTTTATTTGTCATGTAGTTCTATATTCTTATGTTACCGAATAAGTTGAAATAATATTTGGATATGGTACAGATTGAGCCTTCCTAAACTGTAAAATCTAAAACCTGAAATGTTCCAAAAATCTGAAATTTTTTGAACACCAGTATTTTTGGAGTAAGTGGGAAATTCCATATCTGACCTCAGGTGACAGTCAGTAATCAGAATGCAGGCACACTAAAAATATTGTATGCAATCATGTTCAGGTGTGTGTATGAGGTTTATGTGAAACATAAATAGTGTGCTTTGACCAGGTGCCATTCCCCAGATGCCTTATTATGCAGAAGAAAATATTCCAAAATCTGAAAAAATCTGAAATTCAAGACACTTTTGGTCCCAGGCATTTTGGATAAGGAATACCCAATGTTATAATATTTTGTGCTATTCCTTGTTATCTTGTTTCTATCTTTTTCTACTGCCTTGGTAATGTTTCTTACCTTTTACCTCATGTCCTGCTATAGCATCTGTTTTCAGTTTTGTTCTTTTACTCATCTTACCAAAGTGTTTAGTAAAAATTGCAGATTTGTCCTTCTTCTCCTTAAAACTTTGCAATGATTTCCTTTTGATTGAATCTCAAATTTCTGTGTGCTGAAGGATTAATTGATTGTAGATACTTAAACCTTGTCCTGAAATTCTTAGCTCAGGTTTAGTTTGGGGCGGAGGTTCATGAAATATCATTGTAAACATACTCCCCAGATGTGGGAGTTAGTAGTCTTTTCATCAGGTGCCTCCTGATATAATTTAGTTATATATTTTACACAGTATATGTTATGAATTAGTTAATTGTTATTTATTTAATTTCAGTGTGATATTTTCCTATTCATGAGTGTTCTTTCCTCCAAAAATTTGTTTAAACCTTTGCTTCTGTTTATGATGCACTCCTAATCTGCTTTGCCTACCTGATTGCTCCTTATCTTTTTAGTATTAGCTCAGGAATCACTTTCTTCTGTTTCCTTTGGAAGTCTCAGGTGACCTGTGTCTCCAGTTACCAGAACAGTCCTAGTTTACATCTGTTGCCTCAGTGTAATTAATTAATTCCTAATGTCTCATCTTCTCTCCCAGAGAAGTGTCCTGGTGTGAATTACACATTTTATAATCGCTCCCCTGAAGACACTTCTAATCTCCTTGGCTGGCTACATGTTCATATTAATTCTTAGTTTCTAACATATCATTTAAATTTAATTACTTTCTTGTTTGGGTAGCTATTACCTGTATTGTATTTTGAATTCCAAGGTATCATCAATTATATTTTTCATTTCTTAATCTCTAGTACCTGACCTACGATTATGAATACTGATCAAAAGATGGTCAATTTTTTCAAGGGCTCTTCCATTGAACCTCATGGCAATGTAGTTAATAACGCTTCTGAGTGGCATTTCTTCATCATGTGGCACTTATTTACAATTTCATAAGTTCTCTGGAAATTTCATAAATGAATTCAAAGTTAACAAAGGAAAAGTTTCAGTGTATTTTACTGGAAAGTTTTAAGCAAATTTCTTGTTTTTGGCAAAGAAAATGAAGTACAACTTTGTAGCTAGCTCAGCTTAAGCTGACATACTGAACTAAAGGATTTACTCATTTCTTTTTCCTGACTCTCTCAGTACTCTTTCAGAATAACTTCATGCTTACTGTACATCATGTGGTATCCTAAACTGTTGTGCATATTAACTCATTTCATCCTGTGGCAGCTTGGTGACTTAAGTGCTGATATTCAGGTTGACGTACGTGCTTGTGTGGGTTGTATGGAGCACATGAGCATCGGACTTCCAGTTAAGTGGAAGCTGAAAACTAGTTTGTGTTGCTCCATATGGAAATGGGTTCCCTGCTTCTCTAATGAGAGGGAGGAATATTTCCCCTGCATAGTGATCACAGTCACTAACCACTTGTGAATTTACATGCACCCAGAGGAAGACACTAAAATAAAATAGAGTTTTGTTTTTTTTTCCTAATTTGCTGCCCATTAGAAGGTTCCTTTAAAAACCTGGCACAAAGGAGCTGTGCAAGAAAGCTATTGATGGTCTTGCTGACATGTTTCTCTTTTTAGGCTAATGAAACTGTGTCTAAAGTAGCACAGTCAGTAAGCAGCACAGCTAATGTTTGAATCCAAACAGACTAGCTCTTTTGTGCATGCCAAATAAGCGCCAGTCTTCTGGCCAACTCTCATAGGATTGTTCTCAGTTGCAGTAAAAGCATCAGTTTTTAGGTGAAAATTGCAGTGTACGCTGTGAATAGTACTAGCATACTGCAGGACTAGCTTGTGTCTTCAACTCCTTTCTCACCAAAAATATTTGCCTGGTATTTGAAAAATTTGTATTGGTGGAATAAATTTCTGACATAATAATGGAACCAGTGAAAGAGTGTAAGTGTGGGTTTCTGGGATGAATGATAGAAAGAGAAGATATTATCTACTGTTTTTTACACAGTTGTCATTACTCTATTTTGAATGGGTATGGCAGAAAATTAAATTTATTTGTTTTCACAGTATATACTTCAGAGTATAAAGTAAATGTTAAAATATTGCACTGAATAATTGTACATATCTGGATGTGTGGAGTTTGCATTTAAAAAATGTATCTACTTGATTTTTTTTTTTAACCAGGACATGGTGGAAATGGTTTCTTGAAATTTCAAGATTCTGAAGAAATTACCAACATAGAACTTGCAGATGCTTTTGAACAAATGTGGCAGAAAAGACGGTAACTAGCAAGTGAATTCTTTTTATAAGATAGATACTTAATTTTCCCATAGATCTCTAGTTCCTACTTTATAAAATTTTAACTTAATTTTGCTCTTTCCCTCTACTCTTACATTTATATTTTTTTCTTGCCATTGAAATGAGTTTTTTTTTTTTAAAGGAAAAACAGGGTTATGATACATTGTGAGACGTTGAGCTTTAAAAATCCTATCTCTTTTTACTTAGCATCTCTTTTTAGAGGAAACAAGAGTCTCTTCCACCAAGTTCTCAAACAAATTATTTCCAATGAGATTATTCATGGAAATTCCAAATATCAATTTGTTTTTCAGCTTATACCTACCTACTCTTCTTTCTTTTTAGCATGTTCTCCAGTTCCCAGTGTGACAGCAGTGTATTATTTATTCATAAAAATTATTGAAATTAAGATCAGCATAAAATTTGTGACTTCACTCACATTATGGATGACATTTTGTTATTTTGCAAGTCACCCTTGGTAAGGGTCTTTAAGGTGAAGTTATCGTAACTTTGACTTAAAGTAGCAGAATTTCTTTATCTTGATACCTGTAGTTGACATCATGGCACCCTTCTCTGCATACTGCGCACGGGAACACAATGCGTTCTCTGTCTTCAAAGCGTTTACAGCCTAGTGGAAGAGAGAAATGTGTACACAGCTGTGCCACAAAATAAATAATTATCTGTGTTAGGCGATGAACATAAGTGATCTGGAATTGCTTAGGGAGCTTTTACTGGACACCGGTTATGTCTCATTTGCTGCTTCTGTTTATCAAATGCATGTTAGGTGCATGCTCTGTGTTTCACGTGTTTTGTCTCATTCACTTTTAATAGCAACTCCAAGGTAAATATCGTTGTTGTAATTTTCACAAATGAGAAAACCAAGGCACAGACAGATTGAGTTAACTTGCCAAACTTTGCACAGCTACCCCTAGTGCCAGAGGTAGGATTATGCTGGCGTGGTCTGATCCCAGAGCTTGCTCTTAATTGGTTTACTGTATGGCCTTTCATAACTTCAGATGTTTCTGGTCTTTAGGGTTTTCCACAAATTTTGCCCCCAAATGAGTGTGTCATTGATTTGCCTTCCGTCCTTGTGGTGGTTATTGTGGTTCAAGATTCTGTGCTTCCTCTCCTGGGAGCAGTGTTGACTGTTTACCTAGATCCAGTGTCTGCGGCAAACTTCCCAGAAAACCTATCTCCTTTCTACTTTCACCCATACCAGCTGCCAACTTATTGTAAACCAGGGATCTGGTGATGGTGTTCTTTCACTAAAAACCCAACTCAAACAAGCAGTGCTTTGGAGACTTTCTCGAAGCTGTATGGGATAAGAACCAGGCTTCACGTGGTATCTACAAATTGGCCTCACACCACTTTTGAGACCAGTTTCTCATTGTTCCACTAAATTTACTTTGTACCCTAGCTACACCACACTATTCCCCTTTCTCAGAGAAGTTTTTGTTCTTTTTCCCAGTAAGTGTTTTTCTCTGCTGAACTGTACTCTTCCTTTCTCTGTTAGAGAAAATGATGCTCACCCTTTCTTGTCCACGCAGGCATCTCCTTTCCCTGACCTGCTTGTTTTTGCAGTTCCCGCAATCCCTTCTGTGTCCAGAGAGTGCTCTGACTTTGTGAGACAGGCCTAGGAGAGCAGGGCTGACTGTTTTCCCAGCACAGTGTCAGGCACATTGTAAACAGGCAGCATCTGTCTGTCTGAGTGGACTGTCACATTCCAGTTAGGTTGTGTGTTTATCTCTCAGCTTCTGGTTACATTTTATACCCCTAGAGTATGGTGGCTAAGTATAATGAAGTTATGTATAACGTATATATTTTTACATTTATCCTCCTGAATCTAGTTCAAGTTTCTAGGACAGTTTGCACATCAAATAAGTGGTTGCTGGATTAAATACTTGTTTGCATTCCCATGTGGTACAGATATAGGAGAGGAAGAAGTTTGAGGCAGCTACTTTGTAAGAAAACCACCATTCCCTGTTGGGATGATTTCCCTGGACAGGATTATGCCTTTAACTTTTCTTTTTCCACACTGAAGATTGAACACAGTCCTCCCTAGCTGCTCCCTCCCTCCGTCCCTTCCTCCTCCTCCTCCTCCTCCTCCCCCGCCCATCCCCAAGCTGGGTTTAAATTTGTAATCCTATTACCTCAGCCTCCCATACTGCTGGAATTCCAGGTGTGTGCTGCCACGCCCAGCTTAACTTTAACTTTTCTAATGCCAAATTTCTGTTGAGAATTCTACTGAAAACTCTCCAAATGTTCAGCTAATGAAATGGCTAAGATATGCCTTAAATATCTTACAGAAGTACTGTAGAAATGATCAGCAGTGTGTCAGAGACGTTTTCACTTTTCTTTCAGCTACAACGAGCTACTGTTTATTATCGATACTTGCCAAGGAGCATCCATGTACGAGCGGTTTTATTCTCCTAACATAATGGCTCTGGCCAGTAGCCAAGTGGGAGAAGATTCCCTGTCGGTAGGTATATTTTCTCACCTGTAAATGCAATGCCTTTGGAAGGTGTAGCTGTTTGTGAAATCCCTGTATATGCTTTATAAATATATTACTGTCTAACAGAGAAGGAAACGTTGATTGCATTTTAAGCCTTTGGTTTTAGTGATACCATCAAGATATATCCTTTTTTGTTTGTTTGTTTTCCTAGCATCAACCTGATCCTGCAATTGGAGTCCATCTTATGGATAGATACACATTTTATGTCTTGGAGTTTTTAGAGGAAATTAATCCAGCTAGCCAAACTAATATGAATGACCTTGTAAGTAGTCACTTGATTTAATTTTGAAACACCTAAGTGTGCTAAGCTTAATGCAATATGTGAAGTCTTTATTCCTTGAACTTTGTGGGTATTGTTTCATATGTTGAATTGTGGCCCTTTAAACTGTTTTGATTCTACTGTTATATTGCTTCTCTCCTTACCACAAAAGGGCAAAGCTTTAGCCCAGTTCACTTGCTATTCCTGGGGTAGCTTTCTGTTTTCAATCATTTGTTGCTGCTTTTTTTCCCTATCAGATTCACCTTTTGAAATTCTACTTTTTCTTCAGGGGTCAAATAAGATTGTACCTCCTCTAGGAAGTCTCCCCAAATTCTTCCCTGTCAGAACTTATTTTATCTAATCAGAGCTTCCACTGAACTTTGTCTCTCATGACATTTACCCGTCTATGGTCTTTTATTGACTTGACTAATTGAGTGGAAGTCTTTCTGCTTTAATGGGTTGCTCCTGGACAAGGGGGGCCTCATCTTACATATTTTTAAGTGCCCTATAATATCTAGTACAGTCTTTTGATATGGCTTGTTAAATTTGGTTCAATCGTTTTTCCTGATTTTTCTGTGCTCCTTGGATCTTTTAATCTCATCAACATTGAAGTTGCATAATACAAAGCTTAAAACAGTAATTCTAGACTGGATAATGCTATACTCTTTTTTTCTGCTAACTCACACTTTGTCCACTCATTCACAAACATTACTTGAGTGATTGTTAAGTGCTAGATGCTGGGTTTATCCCAGTAAAAGGCGCAGATACTGTTCCTGCTTTTATGGTGCTTAGGAACCAAGGGGAGACGGAGTAGACAGGATTCAGCCTCTGCACTCCAGTAGCTTTGCATGAAGCTCTTAATTATAGAGAAGCCTTTTAGGGACGTTTCCCCTTGTTAAAGAGATTCGCCTTCAAAATTCTGAAAGCTGCGTGCCTATTTGATAGCATACTTACTACCTTTAATTTGAAGATTATATATTTGATGCTTCTTCAATCTTGATATGAATTTGAATATTAAAACTTGTGATAATGCTTCTTTAGCTCTGAAAATGATAGTTGCCTCGATTTCAATTAATTTAAAAGTTTACTTCCAATTTTGGATTTTACATATATTTATGTCATGCATGACATGTCATCTCAAAAGTTTAAAATTTATATTGTCTAAAATATAAATACAATATATTTTTGATATGCAATAGATTAAAAATATTTCTTCCATAGAAATTATATGGGAAAGACTAAGGAAATTTTTTTATTGTTTGTAGCTGCTTATTTTTAGTAACCATCCCTCAGTAATACTCATCTTGCCCTCTCTCCATTTTAAAACTTCAGTTATGACTATATTAATCTCATTTAATAAAAAATGATCTATTTTCTTGCAGCTTGCTATAAGTAATGGTATGACATATTTATAGGTCATTTATATAATAATTTAGTTTCTGTTTGATTATGTGTATGTAGTAAAATTAACTACTGACTTTATTCAGAGTATTAGGTGTTTTAGGAGTAGCAAAGTTAGTAGACTTGGTAGTTAGCCCTTAAAAATGTATATTGTCGGGGCCGGGGATTTGGCTTAGTGGTGCTGCCGACTGCATCATAAGGTCATGAATTCAATCCCTGGTACCAAAAAAAAAAAGTATAGTGTTAAACCAGGCTTGGTGGCAATTACCTGTAATCCCAGACCTTTGGGAGGGTGAGGCAGGAAGTTGAAAAGCTCAAGCCCAGCCTGGGCAACTTAAGTGAGATCCTGTCTCCAAGTACAAAATAAAAAAAGGGCCAGGAATATAGCTCAGTGCAAAGGCCTTGAATTCAATCCCACTACCACAAAAAGGAAAAGAAAAATGTATAGTGTCTTTGAGTCAGATTTGAAGAATGCATTTATAAATTGTTGCCTATCGTAGAAATCTCTGTACCCTTCAGATAAAGTTGTGAGTGTACAGCTACTGTCATCTACCTTTATTGTACTTCTAATATAGCACGCAATTGTTTATATTTGTGACGTTCCCTCGAGAATGTGCTTCTGAAGGAGAGGTGGAAAGACTGCTTTCTACGTCTCACTGCCCTGAGAACTTAACGACAGTACCTGGCATATTTGTAGATGCTCATTGAATATTTACTGAAGGAGTGAAGGGGCATGACGACAACACATACTTGTTTGCCACCTTTCAAGGTAGTGGTGTTAGTGATCACATTTTTTTTTTTTTTTTTTTTTT